ACTTTTTCCAAAAACATTAAACACGTTGTGTATACCCAGCAGGGGGGTTGATAAGACTCTTTATAAAAAGGCAGTAGACAGACTTGGAGGAAGCACACAAAACTGCCACTGAGTTCCAGTGATGGCCCTTGGTGACTGTGTGACCCGTTAAAGGTAAGTTGCTTACACTTCTCTGAAACAGTTTTTCCAGTTGTGCAATGGGGTGAAATCACACCTACTTTGCATAGTTGTTTATTAAGATTAAACATGTCAATAGTGACTATTACCGTTTTTATTGTCATTGTTGTGGTAAGTGACATCTACCACTTTTCAGAGCTGGCAACTAAACACGAATCTTTTCAAATTATGCGACTTGCCAGAGAAAATGAGTTTGCCGATCCACATAATGGCTGCAAGCATCCTGGATGCCAGAGTCTAATTAATTTCAATGTTTACCATTTACTAGCCTTGAAATCTGCCCATATTTGAGGAGGCTTCTTGGGAATTCAAGGAGAGAATAAGTTAGAATCAGTATGGGTAGTTTTGCATTTTGAAATCTTCAACCTGCATGACTAACTGGCAGAAAAGCCCTACATGTTTCTAGAGAATTTTCATAGCAGCCTAAATGAAAGGCGACTCTAGTTGCCAGAGATGCTGGCGGAATACTGAGCAAGTTGTGATTTATTCAGCTTTTCAGTTGATAAATCACAGATAGTTCTAACATTGGTTGATACTTTCTATATCATAGATTCATTTATTCAGGTTGTTTTCAAAAGGTGAATGGCAAACCGCACGCAGTAATAACACTGTGTTACTTCTCCTGTGTGTCTGTACCCTGCGCATGTTATTTGGCCTAACTGACTAATAGTCCTCATTTGGAGGACACAGCCAAGAATTCAGATCTGAATGTGGATTGATGCCCCCTGTAGTCTCACGAGAACTTTCACAATGTCTCTTCTTCTCTTTGGTCTAAATGTAACAATATTTCCCCTTCCCCCGCAATACTACCACAAACTACATTTCCACCCTGATGTTAGGCGGAAAGAAAATAAGTGAAAAAGACTTGACTGGATTTTGTTTCAAATTTTGCAAATAGAACTAAATAATTGGTCTGTCTGAGCACTGCCTGTAAATATCATAAAATCAGGGCATAGAGAGAAATGCTAAATCCTCTGACCAAGATTGCCTCCCCCTCCGTCCCCCACCCCTGCTTGAATAACTCTAGACCCCTGCCTGCCCCTTTTTTAGTTAGTTTAGCAAACTTGTAATTGTAAATTCACTCTCGGAGCCTTTGAGATGTCCATCTTTAAAGCTTCTTGCCAGTATTACAACTCAAGTCTTTCTCAAGGACCTAGGAGCCACTCCTTTGAAATGGAACCATCAAAGAAGATAGCGCCCCCTATCTCCCAGTCTCTGTGGGAGGGTAGGAGCCTAGCTCCACGTTGTAAGACAGGAGGTGGAGAGGGCACGCTGACTTTCCCACTTTTCATTTCATCGCAGACTCACTAAACTCTGGCCTCAGCTCTTGCCACTCCACCAGATTGTTTCTGCGAAGGGTTCTGATGACCCCTGAACCGTCAACGTAAATGGCCTCTATCCACTGTTCACTCAACGGCTGCTGACAGAGCTGACCTGTCTCTCTCTCTCTCTCCTCTCTTCTCGGCTTCTGTAGCATCATCTTTGGCTCCTTTCGCTGACAATCCTTCTAATCCCCGTTAAGCGTGGGGCTTCTCAGAGATTCGGCCCTACTTCTCCTTTTCTCCTGCCCTGTACGTTGCCCTGGGCCATTTTTTTTTTAATTTATTTTTTAAATTTTTTAACCTGTGCTCTGATTTCAACTCAGGTTTCCCAAATGTATACTTTCAGCACTGGCCTCTGGTCCCTAGACAGCTACTTCATAGGAGGGAGGGCGCTTCACCAGTGTCCATGGTTGTAAAACTGGTCTTCCCCAAAGCATTTTTGGAGTATTTTTATATCCTTAAGACAGCTTATTAATTTTTGCTTTAAAACATTTAAATGAATTAATCTGGGCACCTTTTGTAGCTACCCATGTGTTCCTACTGAGCATCTTCCAAATTAGCAGTATTTTATGAATGATAAACTCTAGGTTTTTATTTTGTAATTTTGAGACTACTTTAAGGGCTGTTTAGTACATAGTGTGAAGGCTTTTATTGAGTTTTACAAAACTTTATTAAAGTGTAAACTGTAAAAGACCACAGTTGTAAAAAAAATAAAAGAAAGAAAGAAAAAAGGAAAAAAATAGGACAGCAAAGTAGACAGAAATAGATCGAACAGGGGCTTTTAGAAAACTTGGCTTTTAATGTGCTGGCTCAGCACACCTTGCCCTTCCTTCCAGGCTGAGCTCCCTTCCTTTCCCACTTGCTATCACAGTGAAAGAACTGAAGTAGCCTAGCCTGAAATTTCCGGAAGCGTCTGCATTTTCCACCAGCCCTTTCTGGAGGAGCCCCTCCTCATCCTCCTCTGCCTGTCCTTCCCTTCAACCCCCCCTCCTTCCAGGATACCCTAAGGTATCACACTCTCAACATCGCCATCCATCTGGGAAGCCTGCCATGAATGACATTCCCCGGCCTCTGGAGAATTAATTGCTCTCTCTTTTGTGCTTCATAACATTTCTGTTCATAAGCTGATTATTGTATTTAGTAGACTTGATTAGAGCTTTTTGTGTATGTGTCTCTTTCTCTTGGTTGGTAGGCATGTAGCTCTTTGAGGGCAGAGATTCACTCTGGGCGTTCTGATGCCTGTAATAGTGCCTGAGTGGAATCAGATAATCCCTAAGTGTTCACTGAATGTATGAATGAACAGGGACTCTTTGGTCATCCTATACGCTCCTTTGGGCAGGGACTGACTTTCATATATGAACAGGTGATCCGGTGGTGGATAGATGTTTATTGTTTTGCATTAAGCACGTAGAAGATGGTCTAGGTTTGATAATCAAGCACTTGCTGGTTACTTGGGTGAGTCTACCCTGTGCCTTTGGTGAAATAACTAAACCAGGATCTCTGGCTGCAAGTGAGGAAGTGCACCTCCACTCCTTGCCTGCTCATACCTTCTACCTTCCCCACCTCCCTGTTGTTGGGAAGGGACGCTTTTGGGGGCAGGTGGGCATAGGGGCCTCTCACAGTAAATAGGAGCCCTTTTAGGCACTGGATTTACCCATTTTTATTTATATAGGGAATTCATAAAGTTTATTGTTGCTTATTTTCAACTTTTATAAAATGTATATTTGGCTTTCTAATTCTGCTGGGTGTTGCAAATATTCTTTTAGTTAATCCTCACAACTGTTTACTATCTCCATTTTCCAGTTGTGGAAATTGAGTGGTGCTGTTAGCACACAGGATTCACATTCAGGACTACGGCCTCCAAAGTCGTTGCTGTGCTGTGCTTCCTTCCAACGTCACAGGGTCCCTTATGCATCCCCGGCAATGCACCTCCAGCCTCTGGCTCTCTTGCTAAGGCACTACTTAAATGGCACCTCCACTGAGAAGCCTTTCTCCACAGGAGCACACCAGAGTTCTTCCCTGTCTCAACTTGGCTCCTTACATTGACCTTCTCATATGTTGCATGGGTTTCTAAGCAGACTGTCAGCTCTCCAAGGGAGGAAAGACAAGAGATTGGCCCCTCACCTCTGTTAGGCTTTCCAAGTTCTCCTATACAAGTCCCTGTTAATTGTTTTCAGTTGACTGAGGAAATTGGTCTCCTGACCCTAACTGTCAGGCACTCCCTGGTTCCTTCTCAGCTCTGAGGTAGTTTTCAGGGGAAGAGGTAGTGTATTAGCAGCATTTAGGAGGTCTTTGATTTCTTAGGGGGTCCTCAGGGCTTTCTGAGCTGCCCCTGTTCAGAGGTAAGCACTCCCAGGCTCAGTGCCCAAGGGTGATCTGTCTTTTTAATGATCCCTTACTAAAAAAGGAGGCAATTTTCTTAAAGTTGCTCTAAGTTCTGCTCTGTCAAAGATCTGCGGTCTCCCAAATGAGCCTCTTTGTTTGTATTTTGCCCAAGGCCTTTTCCCTCTGCCTTCATTGTTAGTTCACTGAAGACCAGAGAGGATGTTAAAGATTCACTTCACTAATTCATAGCCAATTAGGAACTTTGTGTTGAACCTGACTGGAAGGTCTCATTGGCAGTAGATTTGGAGCCTTGCCCCCTGGCACTCCAGGGAATTTAAAGAACTTCCTTTGATTGGTTAGAAAACAGAATTTTGAAGCTAATGGTGGAAACAGTTCCCAATTTGGGCATAGCTGGTTACAATGGTATATACACTATGTTTCAGTATCAGAATGAATATTTGCTTTCTATTAGGTAGCTCCGGGCTACCCCCCCCCCCCACCTCCCATTATGTTTAAGAGTTGTCTTCACATCTAGCCCTTCTTTATTTTAACTTACACACGGAGCTGATCTTGGGTTTGCAAATGGGAAGGGACATTAGTTTCTTCTTTCTTTGGTGATAATGCTGTGGCTTTTCCCCAAGTTTGAATTTTGCTCTAATGATTAGTTTTCTTTCTCAGAATGCTGTTTCAGTTTCATCCTGAATTGTGTTATTAAGAGGAAATGCTGGTAGTTAACTATGACTGGAAGATTTCTTAGGTAGAAACCCTCCAGTTGTTGCAATTTGCTAAGAAAGTGCTTCTGCCTTCCAGCAGAATATAAATTAGGTTGGCTGTGGGAAATGTTAAAATCAACAACAACAACGACGATGACGACAACAACAAAACACCACCAAAAACAATCTCTTAAGGCACTGTAGGAATTATGTTCTGAGGGGAAAGTTAAAGCTCCCAGATTGTGAAGGAAGAGGCATGTTCTCTACTTTTTGATGTAGGGAAACCTGAACCTGCACGTTTTAGGACCCTACCTTTCTAATAAGGTGACCCATTAGCTTCCATGATGTTATTTTATCAAATGTGACTTTAATTTGATTTTTGTGGCCTCAAAGTTGACCCGTTTGCTAAACAAACAAACAAAGCCAAAAACCTCCCAGAATTTTCTGGGTCGGAGTATTTTACCTGGTTCGATGTTGAGGGAATACCTGTCTATCTCCAGGTCAAGTTGTTGGGCTGCGGCAGAACGAAAATCCTCCAAGACCCCCTGCACCGCCTTGGTGAGGTTATATGGCACCGACTTAGCAAACTTCAACTTGCTATTCACAATCACACTCCCATTTCTGAAGTTAAGTATTTCAAGTTGCTTAAATCCCGTAAGATTGGAGCGTAGATATGGAACCAGCTGCAGAATAAGAGATGGTTTACCCTTAACTGTGTTCTAAGTGCTCAGCTGCCACTAATCCCATTTATACTCACTTCTCATTATCTGAGGCATACATTTCAGTTCCTGTTTGGGTGTTTTTATTTTTGTGTCTGGATTTAATGTGAGACCAGAACACGACGATTTAATGATCTATCTGCAGTGATTATGAACCATATTTCCACCTTTCTGTTTGTGTATTGAGATGGATGGGCAGAGATTTTCTTCCTGATGAATTGTGAGAACAGAGGATTTTTAAAAATCTAGGCCAATGCTATCAGCAAAGCAGGACTGCCAGGTTCTGTTATTAAAAAAAAAAAAAATCCAAGTAAATAAAAACATGTTCCATATTGAGCCCCGGAGCAGACTGACCTGCTCCTGCATAAATAGATGGGGCATTTATTTGGAAGCAACCAGTTGAAATGACCCTATTGAAAAAACAGCTTACACATCAGCTTGTCTGGCCATGCAGGACATGTTTCACGGTCAACACATACGCTGTGTAGTGGAAACAGCAGGGAACTGGCAGTCAGGAGACTTGGGTGGCAGTTCCTGGAACTGTCGCCAGCTATCTGTGTGACCTTCATCAAATTATTTATCCATTGCATTGTACTTCAGTGCCTTTATCTGAATTGTGAGGAAGAAGAAAAAGTGGTCCCCTAAGGACTTTTTCCAAACTGTAATTTAATAATCTCAAAAGTAGGCCCCAGGGTATTGGGCTTCAGATTTCCACACCTGCCTATTGGGAGTCAGCGCCATCCCTGAGATGGCTTTGCAGAAATGTCTGAAGCTCAGCAGTGTCTTGCCTTGTTCTTGGCCCTGAAAGTTGGTCCCCTCATTCATGAAGTGACATCTACGAGCACAGAGAGCACACAGATGCAAGCTAAAATCTCCCACGCTTGGCCCAGATCTACTTTTTTTGGTCCCTGTCTTCACCCCACCAGGATTTTGACTCGGACCCTGCCCACATTCCAACAGCCATGATTATCTCCTCCCGCACGTCATTGTAAAAATAAAGTGAAATTTTAAACAAAGCGTGGGACTTCTTTTCTCAGTGTCCTCCCAGTACTCTCCTACTTACATTCACTGGGCTCATTCTTTGTGTCTCGGCACTGTGTTGGCCTCTGGTAGGATTCCCTGTCTTCATCTAGTATGCAGATGACTAGCTGCTCCCTTCTCCCAAATCCATTTACTTCTTCACTGGCATGAGGCTGCCTTGCTGGAAACCACATTTCCCAGCCTCCCTTGCAGCAAGGTGTGGCCATGTGACTCGTTTCCATCAACAGAATGTGAGTGGAAGGGTGTGGGTTACTTTGGTGTCACTTGCTTAGGAAACTGCTTGCCCTGGGTTTCTTCTCTCAAGTGGAAACAAGGACTTACCAGTGACTCAGCTTTGATTGGCAAAATTATAAGATAGAGGAAATGTGAGTCCCTGGATGGCACGGTAGAGCAGAACTGCCCTATCCATCAAGTTGAAGACAAATATATAAGCTTACATCTTATTTAAGTTACTATATTCTTTTTGCTGTTGTTGTTGTTTTTGAGGTACAGTTGACACACGGTGTTATATTAGTTTCAGGTGTACAATACAGTGATTCAACAAATCTATGTTATGCTCACCACAAGGGTAGCTACTATCTGTCACTATACTTAAGTTACTATATTCTTGATCTCTTCACTATGGAAGCTTAGTATGTACCCTAATTAATACACCTGAGCTAGGTGCAGTGGGACTCTGTTCCCTGAGGTTGTCCCAGTATCTACTGACCACACTGGTGTGTGTGTGTGTGTGTGTGTGTGTGTGTGTGTGGAGACAGTACAAAGTCTTACAACAAAGTTTTCCCTTAAAGTTCACTTGAAGACTTGGTTTTTATGTGGCTTTCATTTGCATAGTTATTTAACTTACATGAAGCTTACAAATATTTTTCTGTTATTTTCAGAAATTCTACAATTTTTATGACATGCATTGTGTACCTGGCTTTAATTGGCTACGACTGTATAGAGGTATCAGACAGTTAGGCCTTTCTTATTATATGTGTATTTTTTATTGTGCATGTAGAAAGAAAATAAACATGTGAGTTTGGGGGGTATTTTATAATCAAAGGTATATACCATCATGATCATCATCTCACTTTCTTTGTTAGGGATCAGGGATGATAGCCATTTCGCTATTTTTTAGTTTTACAGGAACTCAAGGGGAACTAAGAAAAGAGTCCTTACACTTGAACTCTTGGCCTCATATTTTCTGGACCTTTCTAACTTCGAATTCTTCCATCTGAAGAATTTGAAAAGAGCTGGAAATAGCTTGTGGCGTTATAACTTAGGAAAAGTTTGCTCCTATTGCTTTTAAATTCCATGTCCCATGCCTGAATGGCTATGTACTATCCCTGGGGAAACTAAAATAGATAGAACTATAATGGGGCACCTGGGTGGCTCAGTTGGTTAAGTGTCTGACTTCAGCTCAGGTCACGATCTCACAGTTGGTGAGTCTGAGCCTTGCGTCAGGTTCTGTGCTGACAGCTCAGAGCCTGGAGTCTGTTTCAGATTCGGTGTCTCCCTCTCTCTGCCCCTCCCCTACTCAACTCTGTCTCTCTCTCTCTCTCTCTCTCAAAAATGAACATTAAAAAAAAAAAAAAGGAAGAACTATAATGAAAAGATCTTAAGGGTAAGATCTCATGAGGCTGGGTGGCAGTGTCTGCCCGGAGTGTCTACCACAGAACTTACTTGCTTATTGGATCCAAATCCATTCCCATACTTTTGCTGAATGTCTTCAGCAACAGCTATCTCAGAGGCTTGTCTCTTCCAACAGTCATTGCTCAAGACAGCCAGTGTTTGTGTTATAAAATAACAACAACAGAAAGAAGGACACACAGAGAACTGGAAGTAGTTCTTACTCACCAGCTTTGTGAATTGTTGCTCCAGAGCTCGGTACTCAAGAGAGCTCTTGTTGAACAGGTTGTCGGAGAAGGGCATGTTAGCAACTCGCAGACTGAAGAACACCACCAGCTCTTGGCCCTTGCTGGCAATGGTCATAGAACTAGTGGTGACGTACTGTAAAGCAGGGCCAGGTGTGATATTCTCCAAGAAACGATCCGGGGTAGAAACATACCCAGTGAGTCTTGGTAGCTCAGAGGAGGCAAGAGTATCAGATAGATCCATTACGTCTAAGTCTCTCATTACATCCTGGCTGCCTGGTGATGCAGATGGCTGTGAAATTTCCAGAGCCGACTGGCTGATGGCGGAATAATCATCCATGGGGATGGTTAGTCCTGGGTTTAGTACTGTCCCATCGACGGGCATTATGTCTGTGGCACTTTGATTAGTCAGAGAGAAGATGTTGGAGGCAGTAAAGAAAGGTAGAGTATCTGATAGGGAAGCAGGTGGAGACCAAGAACCGTCTGTGGAAAAACCTTCCGAGTCCAATTCGTTATGTCCAAGTATTTCCCACAAAGAAGAGAAAGAAAAAAAAGGAAATCCAAAGTCAGACTTAATTTAAAAAAACAGCAATTTGCATTGATTTTTTTTTTAATGTCACATGTTTAAAGACCAAGAAATTGGTATAGAAAGGATAGGCAGTCCCTTGTCCAAACCTAGGGAGAGAGTAAGGGTGGGTCCTTGTACCCATTGTGTTCAGGCCCAAATAGTTCTGGAAAGATGACACTAAAAGACCACTATTGGTCCGAAATTTCTGGAATTACTACCTAGCTTGATACAACACACCTAGGGACCAGCTGGTAAAAACTGGTGAGGTCACCAGGTGGTGCCAAAATACAGATGACATTGGAACAGATTCGGATTCCACATTACCATCTGGAACTCCCATCCAATTAGCTATGCAGTTTGGGCCCAGAAATTTTATTCACCTTCCAGTCATGCAGGCCTGCGTTTTATGCACCTGGATTTTTTTGGATACCAGTGAACACATTTTGGTGGTTTTACCACTTAAAACTTAAATTATGCTTTTCTAATATTGGATAATCTGAGTGAATAACTTTCCAATTTGTAAAATGATTTTGCAAAAGTAAAGGTATGGGTGACATGTAAAATTTGAACATCATATTGGCTTTACATCTTGTTAGATATTTGATAGTATTGAAAGATGTTTTCACTTTTACATGAGCATACCTTGATAATTTCTACCACCACTTTGCATTTCTTCCTTCGGTAAGAACATACTGAACTACCGAAGTTTACTCCATTTTTGGTACAAAATTAAAATCAGTAAGCATTTATGAACTAAGAAAGTGGTCATATGAATCTTTCAGATAAAGAGATTGGTGGGTTATTAAAATATTCCAATAAACCTAAATCCAGAGCCACTGACAATATTTAAGGCATTAGGCAGATCAAAACAAGGAGCTTTCTGTGATCACTGGCATTTTGGCAAATATGTGGGAAAGCTGAGTTGAAATCCAAATGCTAAGCATGATGAATGGACTGTCTGGATGCAGATATAATCTTTGGACTCTCAGTCAGCTAATTTACTAGAGTGCAATCACCCAAACTGAAACTCCAAGTGATAAACAGCTCTGAAAGGTGGAATCATATTACTTTTATTAGTTTTTTGAAATAAAACCTGCCTGTTGGTGAATTGTGCCCAGATTTTAGAGAAGTACCTTCTTTTCTCTCATCTGGGGAGAATGCCTCGGTATGTTTACCCATATTTCATTCAAGTATCATAAATGGTGTTTTCTAACATCTATGAGCTCTCTGGATATACACCATAGTTTTATTCAAATCTTCATTGCCATGGACTGAATATTTGCATCTCCCCCAAATTCATACGTTGAAACCTTAATCTCCAATATGACAGCATTTGGAGGTGGGTCTTTGGGAGGTAGTTAGGTCATGTAGGTGGAGCCCTCATGATTGGCATTAGTGCCTTTATTAGAAGAGACACAGAGAGATGATCTCTTTCTCTCTGCCACGTGAGGATCTAGCAAGAAGGCATCCTTCTGCAAAGGAAGTGTCTCACCAGGAAGCAAATCAGCTGGCAACTTAATCTTGGACTTCTCGGCCTCAGAACCTGTGAAAAATAAACTCCTGCTATTTAAGCCACCTAGACTATGGTATATTGTTATAGCAACCCGAGCTGACTAAGACATCCATAGAAGCATCTGGGATGAGTAAATGAAAAGACTTCACGTGTCATCAATGATTTGATTTGACTTCTTTGTGTCATGAGGAAATAAATGCCTATGCACCTGTGTTCCTAGGATGTGATCTCGCTGCTCCTCCAGATGATAAGGGTCTGGGAAGAAGCACAGTGATAGAAATCTTTATTCTGCTCTGGGCCAGCATCTTATTACTCACACTTTTGTTACTGTACACATGTTAGCTAGATTAAAATGGTCCGCTGCGTTACGTCATCAACCAGTAAAAGTGGATTTCTAACCCCCTCCCTTTGCAGAACCTTAACATTCATCTTTTACACTCAAAATAAACCTAAACAAGTCTTGTCACTGACAGAACAGGTGGCTATTTAAATGTAGGATTGCCAGATAAAGTACAGGATTCCCATTGGAAAATACTTATACTAAAAATTTATGTTATTTATCTGAAATTCAGATGTAGCTAGGCATCTCATATTTTTCTTTGCTGATTCTAGCAGTCTTATTTAACTGTGGTTTTAAAAACTATTCTCTCTTCACTTGTGACTGAACCTACTAAGGCATTATTATTAAGTTCATTCTTTTGAAATAAAAATATTGTCACATCTCAGCACCACTTCTAAATGTATTTTAAGTAATGATCTTTTATTTGATCATTATGTAAAAATTAGACATGGCAGCTCAAGCCATTTCAACATGAAGTTTTTCACACTGCAACAGAGATGTCAAGCACTGAAAGCCATTTACTTTATCATGAGGTATGCAAAATAAGCAGACTCACAACAAAATGATTTTTAGCTGTTATGTTACAGTGTGTGGGGGGTTCCTGCGAGGGTGTGGGGTGTGTTTATAGGTCAGTGTGCACGGTGGGGGTGCTGGTTAGAATCCCAGCTGCTGGGTAGAGAGGAAATGGTTAGTTTGGTTACTTTCTGGGTGGGAGACCTGTCTAAAAGTAAAGGCTGCAGAGACTGGTCTAAATCAAAGTAGATGAACTCAGGTTTAGCTGAAGCCCACAGACAGTGAGAGAAGCCAGTAATGGGTAAAGATGGGAACAGTGGGGGCAGCCGAAAACCCTACTAGTAACCAGAGGAAGGCAAAGCAGAAAATGAGCAAAGTGTGAGGGATAAGTGCAGATGAAAGAATATTATAAATGTTTCTAGAAAAAGAAACACATACACTTAAATCATAAACATCTGTGGCCATCTATTTCATCTTTAAAAGTCTAAAAAGAGATTCTACAGTTTCTTTCAGATCTTCAAGTGGCATGACCAGCAATTTCTTAATTCTACACCAAACAAATCCATTCTTATTTATCATAATAAGAAAGTCATTACCTTCCTTTTGGCATATTATAGGGATAGGAAATAAGTGTTATTATACATGCATTGAACAAATAAATATTGATAGCCTACTATGTGTCAGGCACTGTTCCAGGTGCTAGAATATATGAGTGAACAAAAGAGATGAAAGTTTTGGCCCCAAGGAGCTTTCTGTCTAGTAGAGAAAGACAAAGTAAACAAATAAACAATAGGAAATATATAGTATATCTGGTGGTGATAAAAGCTATGGAAGTAAAGTGGGAAATGGGGTGAGACTGTTGGGTTGGCAATGTATATACAGTGGTCACTGAAAATATAATATTTGAGAAAGACCTGAAGGAGGTGAGAGAGTTTAGCCCTACAGCAAATGCAAATGAGCAAGCCAAAGGAAGAAGGGTGTTTTTGTTTTTGCTTTTGTTTTTGTTTTTTTACAAATAGTTTATTGTCAAATTAGTTTCCACATAACACTCAGTGCTCATCCCCACGAGTGCCCTCCTCCATGCCCATCCCTCCTTCTCCCCACATCCATCAGTCCTCAGTTTTTGTCAGCATTCAAGAGTCTCTCATGGTTTGCCTCTCTCCCTTTCTCCCACCATTTCCGCCCTTCTTCTCCCCCTTGTTCCTCAGTTAAGTTCCTCCTAATCCTCCTATACGTGCAAACATATGATATTTGTCCTTCTCTGCCTGACTTATTTCGCTCAGCATAACACCCTCAAGGTCCATCCATGTTGCTACACATGGCCAGATTTCATTGTTTCTCATTGCCATGTAGTATTCCATGGTATAGATAAACCACATCTTCTTGATCCATTCATCTGTTGATGGACACTTAGGCTCTTTCCATGTTTTAGCTATTGTGGAGAGTGCTGCTATGAACATTGGGGTACATGTGCTCCTATGCCTCAGCATTTCTGTATCCCTTGGGTAAATTCCTAGCAGTGCTATTGCTGGGTCATAGGGGAGTTCTATTGTTAGTTTCCTGAGGAACCTCCACACTGTTTTCCAGAGGGGCTGTACCAGTTTACATTCCCACCAACAGTGTAGGAGGGTGCCCGTTTCTCCACATCCTCACCAGCATCTAGAGTTCTCTGATTTGCTCATTTTAGCCACTCTGACTGGCATGAGGTGGTATCTCAGTGTGGTTTTGATTTGTATTTTCCTGATGAGGAGGGATGCTGAGCATCGTTTCATGTGTCTGTTGGCCATCTGGATGTGGAAGAAGGGTGTTTTGCATGTTTCAGTAACAGCTGGCTAGGAGGGCAGTGCGGCTGGGATGCAGTTCTCTACTATCAATTAAATGTGAGGGTGACGAAAAATATTTTCAAACACTCAAAGTCTCAAAAAATTCCTCCCAGACACCTCTTTATAGGATGTTTTTACCTAAAATGATGATAAACCAAGAAATAGGACGAAATGGGATACTGAAAAAAACCCATGGAAACCCTGAAAGGTGATAAAGAGGCTTCTCAAGGAGAAGGTAGCCCAGACAAGTATATAGAATGTTTGTATCATCAAAGCTTCTGCTATTGTAGTCAATTTTTTCACTTGACAAAACTGCTGGAAGATGTGTTCCGCAAGACAAGGGAGTAAACCCAGAAAGGGAAATCTTGAGCTCTAGGGGTCAGGGAATCCAACTCAGAAGAAAAGCCAAGGAAATTCTAT